GCGTCGGGCTCTGGGCTGATGGCTCAGAGCCTGGAGCCTGTTTCCGATTCTGTGTCTCCCTCTCTCTCTGCCCCTCCCCTGTTCATGCTCTGTCTCTCTCTGTCCCAAAAAAAATAAATAAACATTGAAAAAATAATAATAATAATAAAAATAAAATCATCCAGTGAGAGTCAGTCGGGTTGGTGCTGTGAAGGGCAGCTGAGAAAGACACCCTGTGGTGCTCAAGCAGCCGTGCGCACACCCATGTAGCAGACGGCCTCTCCCCAGAACAGTGTCGTGCAGGGAAAGTTAGACTTTGGCTCAAGGTTAGCAACACTAAGTGGGCTAGTGGGGCCCACGTCGCATGCACCTTCTGTGTGTTCAAGAACCCCTATGAGAACGCAGGTAGGAGACTGGCCCCTGAGTTCTCCCTCACTGAAGTTTCCCAACACCTTGATCTTCTGTTCACTGCTAAAATAGATGAGCCACCAATTTCTCTCCCCTGGTCTGCCATAAACAGAAGTCAGGTAATTTTCCATATTAAAAAAAAAATAGGGGCGCCTGGCCGGCTCACTCGGTGGAGCATGTGACTCTTGATCTCGAGGTTGTAGATTCGAGCCACACGTTGGGTGTAAAGATTACTTAAAAAAATAAAACGTTTAAAAAATAAAAAATAAAAAATAGAGAGGAGTGCATCACTCTGTCGGTCATGTGCCAGCATTTGAATCCTGCCCTTCTGAATCTCTTTGGCTAACCCTAACAGACAAGCAGTCTCCGAATAGATCACTATGCTTGTCAGATTTCCTCTGGGAGATTTAGACTTTCTGTTTCACCAGAGAACAGCTCTCGCACATTGATTAGTCTGAGGGTTGTCGAAAAGAGTATACAACGTACCTGGATTATATATAACATATAGAGAAAATGCACGTGTATTTTGCTGGCATGCTAGCAGCTGGAAGAACTGAGAATCTTTCATAATATCAGCAGACAAAAACCGTCACAGTACAAAGTCGACCTCTTCATATCTTTTAGCTAAAAATGTGGAAGACTTTATGTGAATTGTATACTAATACACAATGAGACAGAAGCATTTGTTATACCATATAGGCAAAAGTTGATTTTGTTTTCATCAGACTTGCCACATCAAAACACCCCCTTCGCCCACCTTCCTGGAGCTCCAACAATATTTAAAAGAGTTTTGCAATGTCTGCTTCAGCCTTTGGGTATACGTAGAGCCAGTAACCAATTCTCTTGCTCTTTGGCAGGTGGTTTTGTTTGTTTGTTTGTTTGTTTGTTTGTTTGTTTGTTTTTGATAAGAGTGGTCTTTTTTTGTTGTTGTTATTTGTTTGTTTTTGAGAGAGAACGAGAGCAGGAGAAGGGCAGAGAGAGAGGGAGACAGGATCCGAAGTGGGCTCTGTGCTGACAGCAGTGAGCCAAATGTGGGGCTTGAACTCACAAACCATGAGATCACAACCTGAGCCCAAGTCGGCTGCTCAAGTGACTGAGCCACCCAGGCACCCCTGGCAGGTGGTTTTAAGTTTAGAGATTTGGGAGGTTGTGTAAGAGATAACCAGCCAGTCACAAGATTTCAAGAGCCGACAATAGTTGTAGGCCTGTTTGTATTTCTCACTCGTTACTCCAAGTAGCAGGCGGTCAAACATCCCCCTGAAGCCTTGTGGATTTCATAATTAACAAAGCCTTTCTGCAGTTTTTCTTGGGAAGTCCAGAATTTCCATTTACCCCGTCATTTGACTTTGAAACCTTCTATCTTTTTTTGCCTTTCTGTAGGTGATTAGATGTCGTAATGAGATCATGCATTCTTCAGAGATGAAAGTGTCTTCTCTGTGGCTTCGAGATTTTCAGATGAAGATCCAAAATTTTCTGAATGAATTCAAGAATATTCCAGAGATTGTGGCAGCCTATGCCAGAATAGAACAGGTAAAAATCAGATTTAACAGTTCTGGCATAAAGAACTAAGGAGAGGGGTGCCTGGGTGGCTAAGTTGGTTTAAGTGTCTGACTCTTGATTTCCACGCAGGTCATGATCTTGAGGTTGGTGGCATTGAACCCCACGTCAGGCTCCATGCTATAGCGTGGAGCCTGCTTGGGATTGTCTCTGCCCCTCCCCTGTGCATGCACAGTCTCTCTCTCTCTCTCAAAATAAATAAATGAACATT